GTATTTAATTGATATATAGTTGATATTCAACTGTATTTTCCTGTGACCACTGAGAATTAGAAAATCATCTAACATAAGATACACTTCCCTTAGATTAAATTAGTCTTTTTTGTTTGTTTGGTTTTTTTTTTGTTTTGTTTTTTGTTTTTTTTTTCCACACAGTTAGATAGAAACTGCTTGCAACATCTGAGAGACTTCAGGAGGAGTAAGAAATATGACTCTACTGGGTTTAAATTAATTTCAATTATTCATGCCTCTTTCAAATTTCACAGCTCATAATTATGTATCGTAACAAAAAAGAGAGATGGATCTCCTGTTAAGACAGGAGTCAATATGATAATAAGGACTGAAACTACAGACTTCAGAATGCGCAAAAACAGGATACCAATTTTCCACTCACCGATGCTGGGAAGGGGCCAACAGGAAATACTGTGGGTTGGTTTGACAGATAAACTAACAGTCAAAAAAAAAAAAAAAAAAGCAAGAACACAACACAACACAGACATTCCTCTGTTGACTTTTCTTTCAAGCTTCAAGTTTTTGTCTGCTTGAAGGAGGGTATGTGGTTAAAATGTATGACTAAATCACACTATTCAAGAAAAAAAATCCTCTTTCTTTTAAAAACATCTTAACCACTTCCTGAGGGGGAAGGATATGCAACGTTTTTCAGATAACAACTGAGTATCTGGTTTCAAAACTGCTTGTTTCAAAACAGCCCCAGAAATTAATCATGGCAAAATCTGTGTAACTGATCTTGCTGAGACTGGTCCTTCACACTCTCAGTCTTTCCTGGGATGTGACCTTTCTATAATGTCTTCATGTCCTGCAGATCTGTGGGTTAGGTCCCAGAAGCACGCAGTGAAGTGTGGAGAACCAGTCGTCATGACTCTTTCCTATGCAGTTCAAGAACCAGAAGGGCACATGGAGCCAGCTGGACCACAAATGTACCTCAGAACAATCTCCCTCCTGACCCACTTAAGCAGGACATGCCTCCCTTGTGCAATCTTACTGACTCAGTCAACCGATCACATTAGGCTATATTGTTTTCACAGCACTTAGTTTCTACTGCATTTCTTCCTTTCCTCTCAGGCTGGTGAGCAAGTAAGGCAGAGCCCAGCATCACAGTCTCCTTCTCTCCATGGACATGGTGCTTTCCTCAGCAGTTCTTTAACATCCACCTACTAGTGGGATTTTGTAGTTGTAGTAGGGGTAGGGGTAGTTGTAGTGAGGTAGATGTTGCCCTCTTCTCCTGGGTGACTAATGATAGAATAGCCTCAGGTTGTGCGAGGAGAGCTTCAGGTCGGATATTATGAAAAATCTATTCTCAAAAAGAGTGGCAAGGTATTGGGACAGGTCAAGGGAGGTGTTGTTGTCCAAGAAATGTGTGATGTTGCACTGAGGGACATGGTTTAGCAGTCATGGTGGTGATGAAGTGATGGTTGGACTTAATGATCTTCAAAGTCTTTTCCAACAAGTTTGAGACTATCTGATGTGACTGAATGTGTACAAGGCCATGGGACCTGATGACACACATCCCAGGGTCCTGAAAGAACTGAATGATGTGGTTGCCAATCTACTCTCATGTTTGAAAAGTAATGACTGCCAGATGAAATTCTTTGCAACAGAAAAAAAAGGAGACATCAGGGTAGAAAAGATGATCCATTAAACTACAGTCTGATGAGTATCAGTGCCTGGGAAGATCATCTAACAGATCCTCCTGGAAGCTCTCTTAAGGCATATGCAAGATAACAAGGTGATCTGAGGTAGCCAGCATGGCTTCAGCAAGAACAAATTGTGCTTCACCAGTCTGGTGGCCTTCTGTAATGGAGTGAAAGAATTGGAGGACAAAAGAGCAACTGATGTCATCTACCTTGACTTGTGCAAGGCCTTTGATATGGATTCACATCACATTTGTGTTTCTGAACTGGAGAAGATATGGATTTGAAATGTAAACTGTTCAGTGGATAAGGAATTGGTGGAGTGGTTGCAGCCAGAGTGTTGTGGTCAGTAGCTCTAATAATATTCAAGAAGGCCTAGTAAGGCACCCAGGGCTGGGGCTCCTAGCAAAAAAGGACATGGAACTATTGGAATGGGTCTTGAGGAGTGTCACAAAGATTATCAGAAGGTTTGAAACTCTCTCCTACGAAGAAAGGATGAGATAGCTGGGCTTGTTCAGTAAGAAGGCTCAAATGAGACACCATTGTAGCCTTCCAGTACCTCCCAGTTTTGTGTCATCAGGATACTTGCTGAGCTCTGCCTACCGCCCAAATCATTAACACCGATCAACAGCACTGGACCCAGTATTTGTCCCTGTGATACGCTGCCACTGACTGACATACAAATAGATTTTGTGCCATTGCAATAGATTTGTGCCATTGCCACCACGCTCTAGACCTGGCTCTTCGGCCTATTTTCATTCTCCTTTGTTGCTTGCTCATCCATTCCCTACTTCAAGAACCAGACTCAGGAGCAGGATTTAAAGACCGTCACTGTCAGGTCTTGAAGTTAAAGGTGAGGAATGCTGTGGGTCCCAGATCCAGATCTGAGAACTCCTGAAACTCATAAGATGGCCCAAGCTTGTGCTATGTAACAGGCAGAGTCTTGCTGTAGCAGGGTGTGAGATGGCCCATCCAGAGATTCTGCACAGCATTGAGCAGGAGTTCATGTATAGTTTTGTCCATGCTGCACAGGATGAGTTGCTCCACACAGCTAAAAGAGTGTGGAACTGAGGTGTGGTGCTGACACTCGTCATTGCCAAACTCAGCCTGAATTAAAGCTCGATGCCCAACTCACCTTAGTTTAACTGACCTTTTTGGCCATTGTTTCTTATTACTTTTCTTGATATGACCACAAATTTTTATCATAGTTCTCTCATGGTGTGGACTTGTCCAAGAGCAGAGCATAGTACCTCCCTTTCAGAAGGAGCTCCAAACCCAGTGCTCTCCTGCACTGTCCGAGGAAGGTGCTTCCCATCTCCATTCATGTTCCCTTGCCCTCAACAAGTTTGCTGAAGACTCCAAGCTGAGTGGTGCGGTCAACATGGTGGAAGGAAGGGATGCCATTCAGAGGGACCTCGAGAGGCTGGAAAGGTGGGCCAGGGTGAAGCTGATGAGATTCAACATGCAAAAGTGCAGAGTTTTGCATTTGGGCCGGAGGAATCCCAGGCATCCATACACACTGGAAGGAGCGGTCCTTGAGAGCAGCCCTGTGGAGAAGGACCTGGGGGTCTTGATAGATGAAAAACTGAACATGAGCCAGCAGTGTGCCCTTGCGGCTCGGGAGGCAAATGGTATCCTGGGCTCCATCAGAAGAGGGGTGGCCAGCAGGGACAGGGAGGTGATTGTTGAGGAAGGGAAGATTTAGGTTGGATGTCAGGGGGATGTTCTTTACGATGAGAGTGGTAAGGTGCTGGAACAGCTGCCCAGAGAGGCTGTGGATGCCCCGTCCATCCCTGGACGTATTCAAGGCCAGGTTGGATGGGGCCATGGGCAGCCTGGTCTGGTATTAAATATGCAGGTTGGTAGCCCTGCATATGGCAGGGGGTTGGAGATTCAAGATCCTTGAGGTCCCTTCCACCCCTGGCCATTCTGTGATTCCCTGTATCTCTCATTTCTCCCTCTGTGCAGGGCAGGATGACTCTTTCTCTCACCATATTGCCTAACCTCTTGCTAGTTTTCTCCTCGCTTTGCAAGAACCAGAATGAAAAAAAGCAAATCTCTCCTGTCCTTCCTCCTCTCTTCTATCACCTCCATACTATCAGTGGCTCCTCCCTCTCTCCTCTTGGTCCTTTTCTCAAAGGCTCCTCTAACAACAAAAGCTTTGTGAGACAAAAAAAGGCTTTCCCACTGCACAAAAAGTGTGTCTGTGTTTGTAAGGCCATGCATGCAGCTGCAGGGATTCCTTGCTTTTGGCTTTGTAATGATGGTAACTGGCCTTGGAAGGACAGGTCATAGTATATGAAATAAGTTTTAGATCAAATTCTGCTATGTCTTGTCGATATTCCCAGACACCTGACAAAGTCTGCACCTCACAATGTCTCGGTGTCAGAAAGAAAAAAATACCTCTTCAGAGGTGTCGTAGATAAGTAGGAGGTTTCCAGAGAACATTTCCTCCCTAGAAAAGTGTCATCAGCTCTTCCAGGGAAAAAGCTTCTGGAGTGATGTGGGACATATTTGAACATTAGAAGGAAAATCCAGTCCTGCCATAGTGGCTTTCATGCAGAGGCACTGGGTGGGCCCTGGGCACTATCCGGATGTCTGTCTCTGTGTAGAAAGGGAAAACTGACACAAATAGCTGTATTATGAGCACTCTGATGTCTGGAGGACATCTTATGCTCTTGCATTCCCCTATTTATCAGAAGTCAGTGGAGGAACAGATGCCATTCATGACTTCTCTGGAGTGAGTGCCAACACAGATAAGAAGTCTCTCATGACTGACTGAGCTGTGCCCCAGGGCTGACAGAGGCCACCGAAAGCAGACTGGAGGAGGACCCACCAAAGAAGACTAAGCAGTGCTGGGGCATGTTACTGCTGGAGGTTTTTAACATGCAGACTGACTCTGCTCAGGGCCAATTTTCAGATCTAGCATGTAACAAAGCAAACATCCACCCTTGATATTCCATTCTTAGAGATATGACAGTGACCTACCTCCCTAGCAAGGGTGCACTCCCTCTTCAGAGGAAAAGGGTAGTCAGGCAGCATGAGGCAATTTGTGCTGCACAAGGAAGAATCATGTGCTACAGCCCCCACGGCAATTCCACAACATCCCCACCTTGAGAGAGGCCCTGAGGTGGGGAGCTGAGTGCTACAATTTTTACTCTCTTGGGACTGAAGGAAAAGCAGGGTGGAGGTGAGGATGACATTATTTTATGAATTAGGTGAAAAATCTATGCTGTGTAAAAGTCTTGGATTGAGCTGCCCACGGGAGTTACACATATATGAAGTTTGATTTCAAACTTCTTTTACAATGTCAAATTTTACTTGAAATTCAGTTATGCATGGATTGATGGGCAGTTCCAAGATCTTTTAGACCTTATCCTTATTTCACAGAGTTTGTACGGGTAACTGCCTCCTTGAGAAGTTCTATCACCACAGCAGTCTTCTCACTTTTTGTGTTGTCACTCCCTCCTTTGGCTTTATGTGTGCTGTCTTGCACAGAAGTAGGTGGCTCTATCTGTGGCACTAAGGGTGCGCAGCTGCAGGGAAACCTTGTTTTTGGCTTTATCTGCAGAGATGGTGACACGATCTTGGAAGGATGGGGCATAGCCTGTGTTATTCCCAAAAGGATAGATCCAGCCTAGGAATTGCAACTGCCCTCCTGGAGACAGACGGACACAGTTCCAGTCATAGTAAGGGCTGTCCAGAAGTGCTCCTTTTACAGTGCAGGTGAGGAGGAGTGATCCAGAAACTGTCCCTTCCTTGGGACCTGATGTCACCATTTCTATTTGGGAAAGGGTGCCTGAAAAGACACAGAGAAAGTATGAAGTTTGATTTTTGTTTTTATTTTTTGTGATTTGACTATTCATGAAATAGTCCCTAAGTTGCAGGGTGCAAAACAAAAGAGAGGTCTTTACACTAGGAGTTCTCCCTGGGAGCAGTGGTTTGCTCAGACATTCCAGAACCTTTTTTCTTTGCACCATTCAAAGAACTGTTCAGAAAGGAGACCCACTAAAGCCTGGGCAATGGCTGATAAACATCTATACCTATATAGATATCTTATAGTGTATCTATAAACATTAATACAGAGTCCTGGCAGAAGAGTGCACGGAGCTCCCAGCCCCTCCCAAATATTCCAGCACCAGCAGCATCTGGAGTCACATCATAAGCACAGGGAACGGGGTGGGTATAGACACGCAGGGAATTGCTTTGCCAGATGCACCTGAATCTCAAAGGATGAAGAAGCATGGGGCTTTTGCTGCATTCCCCTAGAAAATCCCAAGGTTGCTCACAGCGGGATCCTACACAGCTCCCTGGAGCAGTTATTGGCATTGTCTTCCCTTAATCCATGCTTAGAAAAATCTCAGAAAACCCCCTCTTCAGTGCTGCAGCAGCATTCTACCACCTGGAAAGGGGGGATTATATCCATGCAAGTATTCATCAAAAATTGTGAAATTTAGACTTCAACAGTGGCAGGTCAGGTGAGCAGAGAAAACCTGGGCCTGTCCACTCCTGGGCTCTCATCTCTTTCACCTCCCATCAGAGCTGAGCAGGACAAGCTAAGTAGCATCATTCTCTATGCAATCATTTCACTGCTTTGAGGACAGAGAAAAGGGAAATTAATCCACAAGGGACACAGAGAGGAAAAGAGCCCAGTTCTTGCCTACCATAAGGGAGTCTGTGGTCCCTCTGGCACCCCCAGTGCCACTGAGAACATCACCCTGGATGCAATCCCACCCTTCACAACCCCTATCTCAGTGTTCACTCTTCAAAGACACATGAAAACAGTAACAGGGGGTGGGTGCAGAGTCCCCAAAGGCCCCTTACTACTTTCACAAGTTGTGCTCTCATTCAGGGTTGCTTGTCACAACTGATAGAACGTCCATCAAGCCAGGACATGGGATCTAGTAGAGGAAAGGAAGGGTGCTGAGTGGCCACAATCCCTTGAAAAGTAGTTCTGAAAGGATGCATGTCCTGGGCAATGGATGTGCGCTGGTGAGGTGTACAGTTGGAAGAGAAGTGCAGTTAGGGTACTCCACCGCTTCCTGTTGCACAGGTGAATTGCCTTCAGCTGTGCTCCCACAGCTCACCCAGTCCTTGCCTCAGGTGATCAATCAGTGGTTCAGGCCATGACTCAACTCCCACACATGAGGGAAGTGCACAAAAGCCATTTCCCTGTTTTTAGCCCAGGAAGACTGGGGTTCTCACCTTTGGAGGCTGCAGCAAAGATGATGACCAGCAGCCAGAGTAGCATTGCAGGCTTCTCCAGAGGATCTGTCATGGTGCAGGATGAGGCAGGGAAGCAGGGCTGCAAGATGCTCAGACCTTCCTCTCCTTGAAGCAGAAGAGAAACGCCCAGTGCCCTCCAGTGCTGAAGGCTCAGATTTCCGTCCAACCCCAGACAGATTTGCAGCCTCTTCTGAGCAGCTGCTTTGGAGTTGCAGTTACTTTATACACCAAATAGTTTTATATTCTTGTCACTGGTGTCTTGGGTGGGGAGAGGAAGCCACATTTCCTTTTGAACATTTCTCAGTCTGCACAGGAAACTCATGGACCTCTGTTAACTCCCTGGGGCCCCTTCAAAGCACTTCTCCAAACTATCTTCATAAGCAGCTGTTGCCCTTTAAATAGGTAAGTGGGAAAGGCCTGATAGTGTGGAGAGTGTTTTTTTTTTCCTGGGAGTGAGACACGATCAAATCATTCCTCCCCTATCAAAGACAAAAAGCTGTTACCATACCCCAGGGCCACAAAGCACTAATGCATGGTGAAAAGAGAATGCTTTGTAAGGGGCAAGAAGATGGTGGGTCACAGCTGTTAGAACAGCCAGAATAGCAGTGTGGGGTTTGAGCAGGTAGACGACCTGCTCTGCCTTCAAGCAAAGCTACAGGATGAAATATATGGGTTAAAAAGTGCAATGGGGGACAAACAGAAGGAGTGGGGAAATCACAGTTCACCCATGCAGAGACAGATTATTTCAAAGGAAAAGAACACAAAGCACAAAACAGTCTGCATCCCATCAGGACAAGGAAAAGTCTTGTCAGGCTGGAGGCAAGAACACAAAGCACAAAACAGTCTGCATCCCATCAGGACAAGGAAAAGTCTTGTCAGGCTAGAGGCAAGAACACAAAGGAAAGGAGGGATGGAGGCAAATCTGTGCTCAAAGCTGCAAACAAAAACCCTCCTTGCTTGCTCCACCCTCCCAGGTGCCTCTGTACGTCAGGTGTGAGGCCCTGGATGGGGAAGGCTCAACTGTGGGTGATAAAAGCCCACTCAATCTAGATAAACTAACAAAACCATACTAGGGAAAGACTTAATTACTTCATTCATTACTGTAACACATCCAGCTCCACCTGGGGGAGGGTGAATAATGTGTGGAGAGCTTATGGGTCAGATTTAAGGAGTGGGCAAGTATGGTGACATCAATGTGGGGGTGTACTGCAGGTCACTAGAGTGGAAGAATGAAGTCAATGAGGCCTTCTACAAGCAGCTGCATGTAGCCTCACAATCCTGAGTTCTCATGGGGGACTTTAATCATCCGGATATCTGTTAGGTGAGCAGCATGGCCAGGCACTCGTGGCCCAGACGGTTCCTGCAATGTGCTGAAAGTAATTTTCTGCTGCAGGTGGTGGAGAAGCCGACAGGGTGATGGGTGCTTCTGGACTTTGTTCTTTCCTACAGGGATGGACTTGTTAGGGATGTGAAGGTTGGGGGCAGCTTGGGATGCATTGACCATATGATGGTGAAACTTTGAGAGTAAGAAGGCAAAAAACAGGATTGCTGCCCTGGGCTTTCAGAGAGCCATCTTCAAACATTTCTGGGACCTACTTGGAGGTATCTCATGGGCTGGAGTGCTAGAAGGTATGGGAATCAAATGTTGCTTCTGCATTAGAATTGCATAATATTATTTTTATTTCATGATCTCTGCTGTCATAGTTGTTTTTGGGAGTTCTTCTACTTAACCTGGGGAAGATCTCTGATAGTTTACATCACTTATCCTCTAGATGAACCTTCCCAGGAACACACACTCTGTATATAGGTGTACACATGTATATTTTGTCACACACATTGCAACAATATCCTGCACAAGATCAACACCCTTTCCCCCCCTCCCCATGTTCTTTGTTTAACAAAGACTTTAAAGAAAATCACCATATCAATATGACAAGAAGAGAACTGAGACATCTTGGAAACTACAGGAGGACAGGACTGACACCAGATAACAAATAAATTAACATGTAATTAACAAATTAATTAACAAATAAATTAATTAATAATTAACAAATGTAAACCTTCTGATAAGATTGTAAACCTGGAGTACCCAGGCAGTGGGGAAACAGGGAAGAGGGGGAGTCAAGGGGGAGAAAGCAGGGTATAAAGGCTGTCATGATCCTTAGGCGCACTCCTACTTGCTGGACGCCCGCCATTGCAATCGCGAATAAATTCTGCTTTTATCAGAGATAACATCCTGACAAAATTACTTGGATATTTCCAACA